ATTTATTAAGACTACAGAGCAAATGAATTCATTGCAACATGAAAAATCTCTTATTTTTGACTAAAGAAAGTATTTCTGACTTAAGAAAGTGACCTCACATTGCCATAAAGCCAAACACATAAGAATCAAAAATTCTCTATGTAAGCTCCGTACTCTCTAATTCCACAGACAGCTGTTTGATAATTTAGCATGATGTCTGCATTGGCTGTTCTAGTAGCTAAGAGGCAGCTAATGACAGCTACACCTGCCCTAATGAAGCCAGAGCTCAATCTTCATGAGAGGAGTGACTCTGAATGCCCAAAATACACATAAATGAACCTAAGCATTAAGTCATTCAAGAAAACAAAATAAGGTGCAGGAAGAGATCCAGTCATGGTAACTGGGTGTGTGCACAAGGTGATCACTGGCAACCTCTCCATTACTATACATTTTGGGGAAGAACTAAAGATTGTTAGCAAGGATATCATTTTTTTATAGAAAGACAGCTAAAAGGAAGGGATCTTTAAGCTCTGAAACAGAACTTTTGTATGCAGTAGAGTCCTAAGAATGCTGATATTGATACAGGGTGGAGGATATATACGGGATTTGCTTTTAGGAATTGATTAATTATAAGAATAGCAAGAATGGATGTTAGGCAGGAATGGTACAACATGCGTATAATCCATGCTTTGGGAAAGATAACAAGTTGTGAAAGATCACAAGCTTAAGTCTAGCAAAACACATAGGAAGACCCTATCTCAAGAAAGAGAACTCTATCAAGAGTCAGTTGCTTTTGTCTTTAATATGATCAAGAGACAAAGGAAGAAGTGGTTAGATATAGGACATAGACACATTCTCTCCCTCCCCCAAAAAATAAAAACTGTTAAACTAAGTGCTAAATCTGGGATATGATAATGAGAAACTAGAATCTACTGAAAATGTTTTCTTAAGCAACCATGTAAACAATTATTTTATTTATTGAACAGGGAAAAACACAATAATCCTCAGGGCACAAGGATTCAGAATATCCTAAATTCTGCCTTTGGATATGTTAGTTTGAAATCCCCTTTTAATTTCTGTGTTATCTTCATATGCTATCATAGTATATTATCACAATCTTAGCCCATCACAAGTCTTGCTCTTTCTCATAATTCTATAGGTCAGATATCTCTTCCAGAGTATTAATTGTTCTGCTTGAGGTCCCAAGGCTGAAATCAAGATAAGGGTAATTCTCTGTTCCTTTCTATCTGGAAGCTGTAGGGCATCATCATTTTGAAGCACATTTGTCTCTCCTACACATCTGATCAAAACTTCAGCCACACCTCTGACTGTAGTCATACAAATTTACCAGATTCTGAGATTTTTCAACTTTTAGAGATTTAATTTAAAAATAGACTAGAGTGAGAAGAGTTTAGTATTTCAAGTTGACACCTTGAAGCCATGCAGTTGTTAGGAATGAAAACATCTAAGAGATTGCTATAGGAGTATTTCTGATAAGAAAACAATGTTGGATTCTAAGTCCATATGCCAAAAGTAAGACAATCACAGGTACTAAGAGCAATGGCATTGTATAGATCATTTTCAGTGATGTGGAAGTGATGAAAAGTGACAAATGCAGAGGCAATAAGGAAGGCATATATATTTACTATATGTAAATTAACACAGCAAAAGATATTTTTAATTATTTGCTATCCAACACATTGAGTTCCTGAGATATTATACTTGCTCTCTTAAGTCACATCTAGAGCCTGGTTTTGCTGTCATTTGATTCTTCTTCTTTAATGACCATTTATCACTTCTATTTCCTCACTTGTATCTCAAAACATCACCTAGAATAAAGTCTTCTCATCAACTTCCCCTTATCCTCTTCCTGCATCTACTCCAATCACATCCGTCATGGCAGATCCAATGTTTTACACCCTAAACTCTGGCTTCTGAGTTCTATCATCTTCAGCATGACAGGAATCAGCCTCACTGAATGGCAGCTCCGGTATTTGTAAATAACCTTTAAACATATTTCATGTCAAATCTGAGACTTTAGAACCCTCTTCTCTGGATGAGTTTGCTCCTGATCCCACTATTAAACACCTGCTTTAACCTCACTTATTCCTGTGCTCCTGATTTTCTTGTTACTCTTTGTAGATCACCTGTTTCCATTTTCTGCCTATAGAGCAGTACTAAGAAATATGCACTTATGTACAGCACTTAGTAAATATCTAAATCCACAAACTGAGGGTGGCATTTGATAACAGTAACTACCAACTACTGGAAGCCTAGTGTGTGTTTGAATGTGATTGGAAAACAAATGTGAAAAGTAAAAAAAGAAGAAGAAAATAATACAGATAGATGTCTAGATAAATAGGAATACATTAGCTACATCAACCATTTTACAATGATATATTACTTTTCCTTAAGTGAGGTTCAGAGAAACAAAGTAACTTAGAAAAGTATGAGCACCTGGTTAAAGACAGGCCTACAACTTCACACAAGCAGACCCACATTACATACTCAACCTCTTTTCACAAAACTTAAAATCTGTTGCATACACACACCAATTTTCATACTATAAGAAACTCCAACTATATACACCCTCTGCCCTCTGTCCATGTGGAAAAACACTACTGAGGATGACCATCTGTCTATGCAGGTCTATGGACTGCTCAACCCTGACATCTGCTGTAGTTAAGATTCCTGTTCCCTGTGTCACGTGAAGCTCAGAAGGAAATTTTTTAATTAATTTATTTATTTATTAAAATTTTCCACCTCCTCCCCAACATTTTCTTCCAACTCCCCCCACTCCTCCTCCCCCTCCCACTCCCCCTCCCCCTCCCACTCCAGTTCTAAGAGCAGTCAGGGTTCCTTGCCCCATGAGAAGTTCAAGGTCCTCCCCACTCCATCCAGGTCTAGGAAGGTGAGCATCCAAACAAACCAGGCTCCCACAAAGCCAGTCCTTGCAGTAGAATCAAAACCTGGCCATTGTCCTTGACTTCTCAGTCAGCCCTCATTGACAGCCACATTCAGAGTCCGGTTTGATCACATGCTCCATCAGTCCCAGTCCAGCTGGCCTTGGTGAGTTCCCATTAGATCAGTC